CAGGTAAATCTTTACAAGAGAAGTATGATCATATATGCAATGATGAAAGCCAGAGCGGAGGTTAACAAAAAACTTTTAACTTAAGTCTGGTACAAATATTTTTATGAATTATTTCGTTAATTTAAATTTTGTCAGGCAAAGAAATTCGAGAAAAAATTGCGTCCCGGAATCTTTTACTTACTGAAATAGAAGTAAAAAATATTTCTTTATTACATTGTTTTATAGATTTATAGCCGATTGTTATATATACAGAAACTGGAAAGTGAAATGATGAGTTTTGCAATTAAGCGAAGCAATAACAAAGAAAAAAACATGAGTTCTGAGAAGCAGATCGGTAAACTCACATGTTGATAACGTTTTTAAAAAAATATATTTTTATCACCTTTGAAGTTCTCTGTTCTGGTTTTCACCCAATAAGCGTAAGTAAGAATAAATCGAATGGATGTAATTCGATTTTTAAACTAAATAATTTTAGATTTTATTGCGATCTTATGAAAACGTCAAGGATGTTGATTGAATCATTTCAAAATTTATGAAGTTGTATCTTAATAATGCAGACAACTTTATGGAGAAAGGACAACTGGAGTTTCCAGCCAGTCGGGCTCTATTCAGACGAAGTCAATTCACATCATTTGCTGGTCATTCTTATTCACGTCACGGTAATCTAAATTCGTCATAATGTGATTCAAGTCATCACATTTTTGCATATTATTGTATTGTTGTTGTGAGAACTTTTTACAAAATCAACAGAGTGACAATTGATGGTTTGTTGCACATTGCAGGTATTGTTATACCACAATCTCTTGATAAATCACTCAATTTAAGAGGCTACAAAGGAATATCTTAACTAATGCATAATAAATACTCAGAATGTAAAAAAATAAATGTTAAATATATTATGCGTCATTAATTTTTAAAACGGAAAAAGTTAATCGTGTCATATGAAATTGATCAACCAACTTAATAAATAAAAACTTCAAAATAATCTTCCATCAGTCACATGCAGCTTTTGAAAACAAATGGCTTTGCAGTAAAAAGGGAATATAATGTAATAGATTGCCTTATTAAAATATTTTATTTGTATTCAGTGATCCTTTATAGTTGAATTGATCTTTGAAATAAAGCAACAGGGTTATTTGATGTGATATTGCTTCAAAATATGCAAGCCCAGCAACTACTGATGGACCGAATTATCAATCAAGATAAAGAAGCTAAAAATACTACCGTTAGAGTTGTTGATTTTTACTAATAAATAATATTTGTGGTTAGTGAATCATTTTTCTAATTTTACCTTTTGATAAATGTACTTTTGGAGTTGATACAGCAAACACTAACAAGCGTGTTTGCTATTTTGTTAAAGTTATCAGTTAATCTGTTTATTGTTTAAAAGTTGCTAGTTCGTCAACGCTTAAACACCTGATTTTTAAATTACTTCTGATTATTAGTATACTATTAAACACAAACCCACCAACTGTGCTATCGGATGTACAAACCTATTACCTACTTTTGCCCCAACAATGTCGACGCAGCTAAAACAAAATAATCTTTTACTGCGCACATTTATGTCAGTTTGGTGTCTCATTTACTGAATATTTTGTATTTTTCGTTATCAAAAAATGTCTGTAACTTTTTTGTGCAAATAATGAAATGATCTTATTACTCCTATCTTTTTATCATTACATCTCGTTTAAATTAAATGAAAACTATTGCATAGGAGCCAGGGAATAGCATCAAGTCGAAGCATTCGAAATCTGTTCCATCATTGTCAAACAGCGGTTTAACTGATGTGGAGCCGTTATTATTGTTCGTTTGCTTTGATCATTTCGATTCTACGTCGATTTATTTTGTCATTTTACTTTTATCCATCAGACCTTACACCATTTTAGCTGCGAACAGTCACTGACAAAAAACAGGGGAATACCGAATTGGAATAAATATTTACCTAAAAACTGTTTTTCGCAAAACGTGCATGCAGTTACAAATTTAGTTTTAATCCGATTTTGGTGATTAATGTCATTTTAGAGCAAAAATTTAAATCAGTTTATGAGAGTTCCATAAATATATTTGATATCATTGCATTGTTTGAAAAAATAAAATCATTGTGTTTTGTTATATAGATATAAAATTTTGATAATTTTCTTTAATTTTTGTCTTTTCGGTGGATCAATCTGATGCAGAGTCGTACCCAGGAAAATTTTTTGCATCTCAAAAGGCTGTTTTACATTTTTTATTATTAAATCCAAAACAAGTTGCAAATATTTAATCGAAAAATTAATTAAAATGTCCTTTTGAAAAGCTTAATTGGATGAGCCTCTTTAAAAACTTAAAACCCTCCAAATAATTTATTTATTAAAATGAGCTTCGTTGACAATGGAAAACTGAGAAAAACAAGAAAATTTCATATAATTTAGTGTAAATATTCGATTTTTATTTTTGCTACTGCAAAATTTAAAATTATTTCAGGTCGTTTCTTTGAAATTTTCAGGAATTTAATTGTACTTACTTGAATTTTGACATTAATTGGAAAACATTTGCATCACTGTTTATAATCAACCACCATAAATGTAGAATGTACATCAACCAACTACAATGAATGTGTTACGTTTGTGATGATCTTGCTCCAGACAAGTGCTCAACGAGAAAAATACCGTAGGACGATTTCAATTTTAAAGTCAAAAACCGTCACTCATATAATCATAGACATATTAACTAGTTTCTATATCTTTGGAAAAAATTAATAAACGTAAGATTGTGATGGAATGCGGAAACGCATTTAGGTACTCAAGTAAAAAAACTTAGAATTGATACAGCCTGGTAATTACAGCAGACTTCAGAGATGTTTATTACGAAATAAACGTAGATAAGCAGTATAACGTTTTGTTATGCTAACTCCTTCGCTAACTAAGCATGAAATTGGTGCAAAATAGCATGGAATGGAAGCAAAGATTTGATATACCTTTGGTTGAAGATATGAAGAACATAATTAAAGATATACAGATAATATATCTGTAACATTGTAAGTGGTTCTGCGTATGTCAGAGCTGCAATAATAAAGACTGGAAAAAAAATTCACGATTGACTTGCCAGCATTTTTAGTGATTACTTTTGTAAAATTAAACTTAATGCAGGCATAACGTCAATGCTCATAGGTAAAACTTAAAAATAAAAAGAATACCTGAGAACATTGGATGAGAATATTCAATTTTTACTTTTGCTTTTGCTACTGCAAAATCTAAAATTATTTCAGGTCGTTTCTTTGAAATTTTCAGGAATTTCATATTTTCGTAGTGGTTCTTACACAGACCATAATCTTCTGAACCACTTTAAACCCCGTTAATAATAATAATAAAAGAGGCTCATCCAATGTTCTCAGGTATTCATTACTGCCAAAAGTTCAGTCAGGTTTTCGTCAAGCTCACTCTACCGAAACGGCGATCCTCAAAGTGGTTTCTGATATATGTGATGCAGTTGACATGGGCAATATAGCAATGCTTGCACTGCTGGATGTTAGTGCTGCCTTTGATACTGTTGATCATGATGTTTTGCTAGAAAGACTCTCAGTCTTATATGGTGTAACAGGGGACGCACTTAGCTGGTTTCAGTCCTATGACAGACAGAATACAGGTTGTCAACGTTGGGGAAGGTGCAGACACAGCTACGTCAGAAATTACCTGCGGTGTCCCCCAGGCCTCCGTCCTTGGCCCTCTGTTATATATACTATACACTGCCGATGTAGTCAGCGTTGTGGAATCATCAGGTGCTCGTTGCCATTTGTACGCTGACGACATTCAACTATACGGATCTGGGTCTGCGAGCTTGTCCTATCAACTCTCTACAAGTGTCACGGATGCTGTAAAAGCAGTAGGAGAATGGATGACAGCAAATAAATTAAAGCTAAATATAAACAAACGCAATACATGTGGCTAAGAACACCTCATAAACTCCTTCAGGTTGACGGATTCAAAGATCCAGTGACAAATTAGGTGTGGTTATGGATCCAGACCTTTCAATGAAGTCTCATGTAAATAAACTATACAAGAAATGTTTTTTCCAGCTACAAAAACTAAGAGCCATCAGACGATATTTGACAGTTGACTCCACAAAAGCTCTTGTTTGCAGTTTCATTTGTAACAGGATTGATTTTTGTAACGTGATTATGTATGGGATCAACCTTTCGCTACAAGATGATGTTCCTAAGTTCCTAAGTTCATTCCTAAGTTCATATCTTCTCATTTTGGAAAAAGAAGATTCTCAGTCGCATCTGTCCAGATTTGGAATGCGTTGCCTGCTGATCTAAAAAATTTCAACATCTTGAGTCGAAATGAATTCAAAAAACGGCTAAAGACCAAGACTCATTTTTTCAACATTCAACAGCGAAGAAAGTAGAGAGCGCTTCTGAAGTCAACTCATAAGAGGTACTATACAAATTCTGCAATACAATACAATTACTAATCTAAAATTTTTTGTTTCTGAATATGTATGATTTTAACGGATAAACCTATAGACACAAAAATTTAAATTTAAAAATAATACCCTAGAACAATATGCCAAAGAGAAAAACAATTGCGTTGTTTTTGTGTTTTTTCATTATCGCTCTAAAAAATTAAAGTTCTTACCCACATGCCTGTGAAATTTTTCAAATTAAATTGCAGTTAAAAATTTATGATTAGGACTTTTCATTTTCAGATTGCAACACGAAATGACAGGTGCGATCCTTGTTTATGATGTATTTTTGAATTATTTAATTTTATTAAATTTTCTTAATTGTCATGTCCTGGTTATGACATTAAACTGACCCTCACTGCCTTGTGAGTGATGTTAGATCATCAAAGGCTAGGCCCACCGCTTATAACTGTGGTTGCGTAAGGAAGGGCGTCCTGCGTAAAAATTAGCCAAATAAATTACTTATGATGACAGAAGTGACAATGGCCCTCAGTATCCGGCAGAAGAGGGTGCGCGAGGGGTATTTCGGTTTCATCATAGGTAGCCAAACGGCAACCCCCGATTTCGGGGAAAATGTCGTCTAAACGTGTGTTGTTGTTGTAATTTGCTACTCTTCAGCCAACTGAGAACTGTAAAAATAATAAGTAAGTAAATTAGTAAACTAATACAAAATAATTATTAAATTAGATAAATAAAGTCCAAGATAGTTTAAGTTTTCACCATGTTTCAACACTTTTTAATCTTTTAAAATTTAGCATTATATAATCTATTCTACTGCTACTCTCAAATTTAATTTAATTTGAATAAAATAACTATTGTCCATTTTGTTGACTATCCAGATATTTTTTACATTCAACGTCATTAATATCTCCTATCACATTTAAATTAAACATTATCAGCTGATTCTAAATTCATTGGGTCATCTGGTGAAGTATGTTTCTTTGCTTGGAAATAATCAAAACCAAAATTATCTATTTTTTTTATTTGATTATAAACATTATATGATTATTTGAGTTTTCTGGCGTGATTATTTATTGAAAATTACAGTTAAAGTATTTGAAAAGTATTGAATTCTATAATTAAGCAAAAATTTTGTTTTAATCAATGTGGAAAAAATTGATTAAAATATTAATTCTTTGGAAATATATAATACAGTCTTGGCTTATTCACAAGCTCATCAGTTAATTATTAATAACTATAACATAGCTTATATATTTATGATGCATAATTTATGAGACATTGTAAGAAGGCAAACTCATGATGCTCACTCTTACTAAGTTCTCGCTATGATAAATTCTAAGAATTAACAATGTTGCATCATCTTGAAATGCAACATTTTGTTTTTGATTTCATGCTACAGTGCTTGAATTTTTATTGCTTTTCATGATTTGTCTGTCAATTTGTTAATTGCTAATTTTTAAAATTTTAATTGATGTTCATGAATGATGTTTGAAACTGACTTGATAGAAGTAGAGCTGACCTCCTCACAAACATCAAACATCAGTGATCTGTTTTCCTCTGGAACCTACCAGTTAATGAAAGAAGAAATTCCCTCGTTTGTTTTCTTTTTTTTTCATTGTTATATTAAATTAACTTCAACAATGCATTTTTTAAGTTGTGAATCTAGAGTTAATGCTCTCAAATGTTAATTTGTGACTGATTGCAGTTGAATTTTAAAAAATTATTCATTATTGTATTAGATTGGATTTATAAAGTTTTCAGCATGTTTTGGTATCATAAATTAAAATGAAACAAAATGATAAATTGATTGTATACAAATTTCTTTCTTCCACTAATTTATTTGTTGCTCTGTTAAGCAGATTGGAATCCCACATGAAACTCTTGGAGAACGACATGGATGAGAACTGGAATGCTGTCGTAAGCATTTTTTCATCTGGATGAGTTCTTTTAATTTTTTTCATAAATAAATGATATTTCCACTAAAAATAATTTTCAGGATCTTTCAATTAAAAGAATTGATAATAATGATGATGTGAGTTTTAATAAAGTAGCATAGCTCAAATTAACATTTCAAGCTCTTAATTGTGAAAATATCGCCGCTAATGCTTTCAATTTATTTATTTTGATCCTAATTAGATTTTGCTTTTTAGAACTTATCAATACAATAATCAATAATATTCAGTTTATCACCATTCAGTTCATTTCGTCACTAATTTTTTTAATATTTTGAAGTTTTGCCTATTCGTTTATAAAATTGTTTATAAGAAATGTTTATAAGAAATGTTCTTGAATGTTTAGAATCATTTACTATATAAAGACTTGATTGTTTCATAATCGTTATTATAATTTAAATATTATTTTATTGGAGTTTTATTAATTAATTTTAATGTTTGAAGGTTGAGAGCCTGCAGGAGTTCAACAGCAGTTTTCTCTTTGGGTACTTACTTGAATCAAGTTTCTTGTTTCATTTCAATGTTTTGTAAAATGTCTTGAAATCTAATTTGTAGTCAGTTTTGCTACATTCCACTTTGTGAAAATAATTGTAATTATTTCTATTTTATTTTGTTTAATTTTTATTCTTAAAACCACATTTGACGAAGCTTCATTGTATTGCACATCAGCTGAAAACTACTTCTATTGACCTAGACCACCAACACAAAGGATAATTTTTTTCATTATTTTATTTTTGTTATTAATTTTAACTATAATAACTACTTTTACACACTTCAGACATGAGCCTGCAGATATTTTAATATTTAAGTTTATTTTTCATGTTTAGTTGTACCATCAAATGATTAATTATAATAAATAGTAATTCAATGTTTGATTTGTGAAGGGAAGATTATGATGGGATGCATTCCTTCAAGATCCATTTCGATGAGCCTGAAAAAATAACAAAATCAATGAAATACACAGTTGGTGATTTAACATGCTGTATCGTATATTTAACATAATTCTCACATTCATGTTGTACATCTTGACAATTAAATTCAAGTTGGTATTCATTCTGCTAATACGTGTTTTATTTTCATAATTTAGTTTTCCAAAAAGGAGAATATGTTATTTGCTCAGAATGGTGTCATCTGTGACACACTAGTGCAGACAAGCGGTGTCGTTCCAAGCAGCTCAAAGTTATTTGTCAGTGCAGTTTATACAGGTTCTGATCACCAAGATGTGCCAGTGTTGAGATGTCCTCATCACTTTACAAAACTCGATGACAATTCTGATCACTTCATTTTAGTGGGTTTTCTATAAATTACTGTGTTTTAAATTTTAAATGTTTTTAAATAGATCATTTGTATTTCAAGGTTAACAACTTGAAAGCTGAATATGGGAAATATATAGGAGCTGAACATAATTATGTTGCTATCGCATGCAAGGATATTTCTGGTAATTCGTAAAAATTTTTCTGATCATTTCTATCTAACCACAAATTCTGCTATAAGTAATTGTTCATGAGATGTTCAATCAGTAACGTTTTTTATTTTATTGATTTCAGGAGGGCACTCGATATTTACCGTTCCTCTGGAATTCACATGTTTGTCCACATGCATGGGAGGCATCGGACAGAAACCATTCAAGATAGTTTTCCTTCTGGTCGACCGAGGTCGCTTGTTGGGCAGAAAGTGCATTCCAGCTCGAATCAGCAGGTGCCCTGGAAGAAGCAGGATGAGTGCAGAAAGCAAATATCTCGAGTCCAACAAGAGAAAGGTCACATTATAAATCCTTTTATAGTTTTTAGCAGAAACAGTTGGCTGTTTGCAAATATTTATAATCAAAAATGTTGAAAATTACAGATTGAAATGAAAGAAAACAATTCCGAACTTTTGATGGTATGTACCAAAGAATTGATGCACTTATTTTTATTTCTATATTGCATTTCTATTCATCTACTCATCTAAAAATTGTTTTTATTTTTGAGTTCATCTGGAAGTAAAAACATGGATGTAATCTCTGTAACTGTAGACCTGGGCATTTAATGATTGATTTCGGTACATATATACGTAAATTAATTAACAGACGACTGAGATCTGAATTCACACAAGTTTAACTAAATTGTGAAATGAAAACAGCGTACAATTTTTTGAAGTTATCAAGTTATAGATTAACTTGTCATTTTAACCCATAAATAATTTTAAGGTTCCAAATCCAAAGCACAGGAGAATAATCCAAAGACTCTTGGATGTGCTAGAAAGGTGGTATCAAAAAAAATCCTTATCACCTTTTTCCATTTAAACTTAATTCATTGAATTCAAAATTTGAAATATTTCGTATTTTCAGCCATTCTGACTTTGACTGTAAATGTCAAACCGACCTACATCTTTCGCCTGGCTACTGCATTCTCAATTTCCAATGAATTGTGAAAAAACTGACTATAACTTTTTCAAATATTTTTTTTTTATCAGCGTATACATAAATTTTTTTTATAAACTGTTTTTTTTTAATATTTTGTATGCTTTGTTCTAAATCAGTGATACAAATTCCATATTTTTTAATTACCAGCTTTTACACTTGTTGATGAACGATGTCAAAATTGTCATAAGTATTTTGAATAATGATTATTTGTATATAGATCGTTTTTTATTTCCACATAAAAGTTATAATCTTACATTTAATGTCTAACTTTTACAATTGTTTCAATCTTTTAATGAACACTGTCAAAATTGTCGTCAACATTATGAGCAAATTATGTTTTATAAATGCTTACGAATGTTTGTATTGTTTATGTATGTTTGTATAAATTGTTTATTATTAATTTTATAAACAAAGTTGTAATTTTAAATTTTATTTGGCAAAATATCGACCCAAATTTTCTTCTCTAATGCAAGGCCATCCATCGAGCTTCCTGATGTTGGGCAATCTTTTCATGGCCAATGTGGACCAATCCCCATCTGCGTTGTGCTTCTCCCAAATTGGGTTCCCTATAAAAACTACCTCAATCAGTTGCGGACATTCATTTATTCTCGTTATTTCTGTCCACTCTTTGATCAGATTGTAAGACATATAAAGAACTTTAAGTTTCTTTAACAGTACTATACTCTTCAATTTATCTATATAATTATAGGAGATCCACAATTGCTCCAAAGTATCAGAGACGGCTTCAATTCCCGAAAGACCCTTTATGTTATTTCTGCCGAGGGATAAGATTTTCAAGTTCTTCATTCCATTCAGATTTGATATTTTGTCTATGGCATTTGTTGATAAGGACAACCTCTCGCATTTTATTAAAACGTTCAACGAGGAATCCATTTTTTCGATAAAAGGGGTTTGGTTCCAAAGTTCAACTCTCGTTGCTTCCGATGCCTTGTTTCCAGTCCTTTCTTCCCATTTTTGAATGGCTTCTTTGATCGTCGTCGGCATTACGAAAATATAATTTGAAAAACTGACGTTCAAGTAAGAAAGCTAATCACGCGGAAAATATTTTCAAACCGCAGAAAGTGTTTAAATCGAGAAACATCGTTAGTCGCGTGTGCGACGTCATACATAGTATAAGAATTGAATGAATAATTAGAATATTTTTTAACTCAGGTCAGGAAGCTGAGTATCTTTCACAAAACCTGTGGATAAATCACCGAATAAATATTAATATTAAATGTTTGAATGGTTACGTAACACTTTCAAAAAGAAAAAACAAATCCTACTTAATATTCTAGTACAAGAACCTGACAATATTGCCAATTTTGTTAGAACAAGAAAACTACTTTGAGCGCTGTTTTTAGAAATATTCTTTCTCCAAAATTGATAGTAGATTATATGTAATTTTATCAATATTTAAAACCCCGTTAAACGTTGATTAATTGAATTAATATTTCACGTAGGCCTATGTGTTTTTCAGAGTTCAACCGATCATTTGATTGAATGAATATCAGCGAAATGTAATAAAAATATAATTATTATACTTTATTATTATTTATGAAAATTTTATTTGGCCGATGATGAACTTTCAACTGTCATTAGCTTCATGAAAGTTTATAATCAATTTAATAACGGCAATTAAATTAATATTGATAATGAGTAAAATTGGTAATGAGACTAAGACTAAATAAAGTTATTTATTGTGATTATGTAGTTGATGATATTGAGATGGGATCACCGAATTATTGAGTCGTGAAACATTTAAAGTGTGTTAATGTTTATATAAACAAGCTTCTACTGTACTTGTGACAAATGTTTATTTTTAAAGCAATAACAAATAAGTGACACAACATGTTAATACATATGAATGTGTATTTATTCGTCGCTATGTATACTTATCACTTATAAATGACACAAACACACATAAACACACACACACACACACACACGCTTATGAATGAGTGGTAGCAGTAGCGTTGTGTTTGATGTTTTCAATTAATGCCATACACGTTATCATTACAACATATCCAGCAGATAGATTAGCAAGATGTATTATCGTGACGCCCGGCTAACCTCTCACTCTCAATCAGACATTTGTTTCTAATATTACGCTTTTATTCTTCATTTGAGTGATTAAATAAATAAAAATTACTCGCCCTTTATCTCGCCGACAAAAACGCGACTCTTGCTTACACATTCCGCATTTCAGCTACTCCATTATAAGGCTGGATAAATGGATAGATAGATGGATGACGGATGAATACAAGGATAAATAAATGGATAGATAAATGGATGAAAATGTGGATGAATAAAAGGATGAATGGATGGATGGATGGATGGATGAATGGATGGATAGATGGATGAATGAATGGATGGATTCTCGTGCCTGACTCTTAATGGTTCAATTGAGTGATGTATGTTATTATTTTGTCTCATTTTTGCGTCTGACCTTGTGCAAACTCATAAATTTTTACAAAAATTCATTAGAAATATGTAATGACGTTCTCGTGCGTCATACATTCACTGGTCTGTGTAAGAAAAACAGTTTCGAAATTGAAAATATCTTTGTCTCTCTCTTCCACAATTCTTTTATACACTTCATTACATGTGCGCTTTTAGACGTGTGTAATTTATTAGAGGTCCACAAAGTGTGAATATTACATGCTTGACCTTTGAACTCTTAACTTGTTAATATCTAGCAATTTATTGCATGCTGCTGATATAAGCTTCTGGTAGACGTTTTCATTTTAATTATTCTTCCGAAATTACTACAGTTCGTGAATGCAGTAACTTTAGCAAACATTAAAAAAATATAATTGAAAATGAATGACAATACTTAAATAGCCCTTTTATTTTTTCATAATTTCTCAGATATTTGATTTCTCCAAACCAGCTTTGGATAAATTTACTCATATATCTTTTTAGCTCCATTATATGCGTGAATCATTTTCCAGATACGAGGCGAGAAAATTCAAGAAAGGGTGATATTTGTTGAAGCTTTTGCAAACACTTCTTGCTTATCTGGTTCAAAAGCAGTTTCTCATGCCATCGGTGCGCGTGCAAGTACGCCATCGAATGTTGGAAAATATTACGGCACAGAAGGTTTAATTAAGTGTGGGAAGAAAGTTGGACATTATGCACCCATCATACAACAAAAAAATGTTCGAAATCAAAATGAAATATATATTGTTAAAATCAATATTTAAAAAATAAATTTAATTTAAATGACTTCCAATTTAAAGTTCCTTCTTCCTCATCAAATAGATTTTTTATTATTATTACCTTTTTAACTGTTTGGTACTTAAAATGTCCTCTTTCATAAAACTCCCATGATTGTGCGGTACAAATAAATTGAACGTATAAATGGGTGAAGTATGGTTGAAAAAATAAGGTGTGCTTTATGGAGCTCTATGTAGCTAACTTGCCTGCATCTGGTGCTGCTGTGACTAGGTTTGAATGCAGCGAGATTTACGCATATTCACATGCCTGTATGTGCTTGATGCACATAAGAAGTAATTAATAAATATAATGGCAATAAATAAATAATAGATAAAGTAATTTATTTACTTTTGTAAACACCATTATCATGTGCGTCTCAGTGCACAGGCTGTTCTCGATTTAGAAATTTTTATTTATGGATGTAATTTATGGTTTCAGGCGGTTGGACAAGTTAATGCAATTTTGTGGCGTTGTAGAGAAAAGAGATAGAGCCATCTTTATTTCGCCCACCAATGTCTTTTTATCAATTTTGCAGACGTACCTGGTATGCCCGGACAGCTTTCAACGAATGCAACAAATAAATGTTATTGTTTGTACGTACAAACGCAACTTCAAAAGCAATCGCACTCTCAAAACATTACATAATTCTCGGTTTGATGATATTTGTAAAGCAATTCACTTAAATGTTGAACAATCGTATCAATTTCACTTTAAACATTCGTAGCATAATCACAAAACTGTACAAAAAAATCACAAAAAGTTGAATGAACTTTCATGTGAAAATGATGCACACAGGCTCAATGAAAAGAACGGAAGAAACCAAAACTATGGCGTCATATTCACTTGTCTCACCCATCCCATGCATGTCTTATGATGCACTCAAGTAATCCCAAGAAAAACTTTTTATGCAGTAATCTGCCATAAATTTGTTAGATGTGTGTTCTCTGCTCTCCCCCCCCCCCCCTCTCTCTCTCTCTCTTAGCTTCTTGTAGTTTTTATTACATTTAAACACATTTTTGTTGCAGTCACAATCATTATCCTCACCGTGCAATGATTACTTTATGAAATTTGGATTACAGTAAAGGAAATTATTTTTTTGAAGATGACTTTGATGGTGTCAATACGGCAATGATAACACAATGGTGACATAATTTTGATGAAGACGATGACGACGACGATGATAATGACGACGATGATGTTGTTACATTGAGAAAGTAAGTTCTCTGTTGTCTGTCACGGCATACACTTGTTTATAATACCAACAGATGATTGCATATTTCAGTGTACTGTACAACTACATTGTATGTTATGTATTATACGCATTCTATGTATGCACACAAAGAAAGTACACAATATCAGTGACTGTATAGGCATTGTACTTAGATACGTACAACAATTTTATAAAAAAAAATAAACATTAAAAGTTTGTATCGTGTTATATGTATACGATTCGAGTCAGTTCGTGCATTCATTCATCTGTACATTTGTATTATTGAATGAATCGCAATTTAAGTGTACGTTAATTCACGTTTTGAATGAGTAAAACAGATGAGATAGTATGAGGAATGATGACAGTGTAAACCGCGGGTCGACCAAGAGAAGGGGCGTAACCAAGGGGGTGCTTTAGGGCTGAAGCCACCCAATTGTATGTTTGTGTGAGGTCTAGGTTATACTTGATAAGAAGCATACTTATATACATTTTTATTTTAAATAGTTTTAGCTCCAATTCTCCAGATAATTTTTTTAAATCTAAGCAAGTCCACAGAAAATTTCTCGCTATGCCACTGGCGCAAGTCAGCCGGCAGACAGATGATTTGTATGGACCATGGACACGCCATCGTTTGAGGGTTTTCAAAGGTTGAGGATTGAAGATTCTGAAAAGAAATGGAAGAGACAGTTTTGATGATTAATTTTGATTATTTTTTCAATATTTGTTTTAGATTTGGCTATTTTTTTTATCATGTTAATGTTTGTTAACCTGCTGTAGGATGCGTTCTTGTTGGTTGAAAACTTTTGGGATAATTTTTAAAATGATCAGAACAAAGTTATCTTTCCTTTTTCAATATTTACGTCGTTGAAATTTTTACGTTATTGCATTTACTACCATCATCATCATCATCACCAACGCCATCATCGCTATCATTATCATGACAAACATCTTCCGAACGAATGTGATTGTTCCATTCATCCATCCATCCATTCATTCCATACCCATGTTTCTGTTCATCTTGATTTATGTTCGATGTTCATGCTCTTTTTGACGTTTGTGTTGTTGTGTTGTCGGTGTTGTTGTTGTCGTGTTGTTGTCAGTGTTGTTGTGTTGTCGGTGTTGTTGTTAAGTTGTCGGTGTTGTTATTATTGTTGTTGTGTTGTTGTTGTGTTGTCGTGTTGTTGTCATTGTTGTTGTGTTGTCGTTTTTTTTGTTGTTGCTGCTGCGTTATCATTGTTGTTTTGTTGTCGGTGTGATCTTAACTAATAACTATCTTTTCATCACCAGCCTACGATCTCGTCACTTCATCACCATCATTAATATTCACGCCTCGATGACTTGGCTTGCTGGCTAGATCCAGAGATGACCTCGTAAACAGGAAGAAGATATATGTGACGTCACCTTCTGAGAGTTCATGTTCATAATTGTTAAGTAATATTCACGTTGTTAAGTGAGTTTAATGTTCATAACTGAAAGGTTGAATGTAATTTTTATTTTCTTGTCTTGATTTGTCAACGACTTTGCGTGCAATCCAATATTGTTTATGCAACTATTTTCAATATTTTTTCAACTTTTT